ATCTCAATGTCATCCCTGGGAAACATCTCAATGTCATCCCTGGGAAACATCTCAATGTCATCACTAGGAAACATCTCAATGTCATCCCTGGGAAACATATCAATGTCATCACTGGGAAACATATCAATGTCATCACTGGGAAACATATCAATGTCATCACTGGGAAACATATCAATGTCATCACTGGGAAACATCTCAATGTCATCACTGGGAAACATCTCAATGTCATCAAAGGGAAACATCTCAATGTCATCCCTGGGGAACATCTCAATGTCATCACTGGGAAACATCTAAATGTCATCCCTGGGAAACATCTCAATGTCAACACTGGGAAACATCTCAATGCCATAAATGGGAAACAACTCAATGTCATCCCTGGTAAACATCTCAATGTCATCACTGGGAACATATCAATGTCATTCCTTGGCTTCTCCCTTAACTTGAGATTGGATGGCTCCTCCATGACCCTGAGATTGAGTGGGTCCTCCCTGACCTTGACATTGGGTGGCTTCTCCCTTAGCCTGAGATTGGGTGGCTCCTCCATGACCCTGAGATTGGGTGGCTCCTCCATGACCCTGAGATTGAGTGGTTCCTCCCTGACCTTGAGATTGGGTGACTTCACAATGACCCTGAGATTGAGTGGCTCCTCCATGACCCTGAGAGTGAGTGGCTCCTCCCTGAATCTGAGATTGGGTGGCTCCTCCCTTGACCTGAGATTGGGTGGCTCCTCCCTGACCTTGAGATTGAGTGGCTCCTCCATGACCTTGAGATTGAGTGGCTCCTCCCTGACCCTGCGATTGAGTGGCTCCTCCCTGACCCTGAGATTGGGTGGCTACTCCATGACCCTGAGATTGGGTGGCTTCTCCATGACCCTGAGATTGAGTGGCTCCTCCCTGACCCTGAGATTGAGTGGCTACTCCATGACCCTGAGATTGAGTGGCTACTCCATGACCTTGAGATTGAGTGACTCCTCCCTCACCCTGATATTGGGTGGCTCCTCCCTGACCCTGAGATTGGGTGGCTACTCCATGACCCTGAGATTGGGTGGCTCCTCCCTGACCCTGAGATTGAGTGGCTCCTCCCTGACCCTGAGATTGAGTGGCTACTCCATGACCCTGAGATTGAGTGGCTCCTCCCTGACCCTGAGATTGAGTGGCTCCTCCATGACCCTGAGATTGAGTGGCTCCTCCCTGACCCTGAGATTGAGTGGCTCCTCCCTGACCCTGAGATTGGGTGGCTACTCCATGACCCTGAGATTGGGTGGCTCCTCCCTGACCCTGAGATTGAGTGGCTCCTCCCTGACCCTGAGATTGGGTGGCTCCTCCTTGACCCTGAGATTGAGTGGCTCCTCCCTGACCCCGAGATTGAGTGGCTCCTCCCTGACCCTGAGATTGAGTGGCTCCTCCATGACCCTGATATTGAGTGGCTCCTCCATGACCCTGATATTGAGTGGCTCCTCCATGACCCCGAGTGGCTCCTCCCTGACCCTGGGATTGAGTGGCTCCCCTATAACAAAAAATGAGAAAAAATTGCATTCACCTGTAACTAGTGTATCTCCATAGAGTGATTTGAATTCATCAAACATACTGCCATCAACTATCCTTGCTATAACTTGTCTGACATCATATTGCTTCATTAAGTCAGTTCCTACAATACCATACATCTCATCAGCAGGGTAAATAGGCTCTTCTGGTGGCACTACACTCACCTGTCATAATAACAGTAACAAATCATTGATAGATGTGGTTAAAGATGTAGACGAAATCATGAATGTAGAAATTATGCAAATTGACTACTGGGTAACTGATATAAACAGAAAATAATAAGTTTT